AAAAAAAAAAAAAAAAAAAAAAAAAAGAGCCGCAGAGCCATCGGAATCAGAATTTTCTCATGGAGATGGAAAGGGCTAGAGGAAAGGGGGAGGGGGTACGTAGGGTAAGGGGGACGGTGCGTGGAAACAGAAGGCAAGATCATGGCAGTGTGGGGGACGACAGAGGCAGAAATTGATGGCGGGGTGGAAAGAACTGCACACACACAGAGACAAAAACACGCACAATACCCAAACACCAACCCCGCCGCTGCACTGTGCATCCCGGACTGACAACCGGTCCCCCACCCCTCCACTGCCTCGCTGTTCCCCAAAGCTGGTGCCGATGGATTTCTGTATCTCAGTTCTGCAGCAGTGGGCTAATTACAACCAAGCCCCCTCACCAAATTAACCCCTCCCCTCCCTCTCTCCTTTTTTCCTCTAAAAGGCCAATTGAAGAATAATGTGTTTTTAGAGATAATGGATTTTTTTCAAGGAGCGAGAGAAAGGGGGATGCAGGACAGAAATTCTACAAGCCGGTGACTTCCAACCTCACCTCCTTGTCCCCTCACGTCCCCATTCGCTGGAGCATCTCATCTACCATTCTCCGACCATTCCCTTGTCCCCCACCACCCAAAAGAAAAGACCTTCCTACCATGCACATCGACAAACACACCAACCGCCACCCAATCTCAGTAGCCGATCTCAAAACCCCAAGCATCAATCCACCTCGATACATCCTTTCCCTTATATAAGCAGCAAATCATCAACATAGTCAGTAGAAACGCAGCAATGAAAAGAAATCAACAAAAACGGAGGCCAGACCCCCATCAAATCCCCAATAATTAATAACAGGGAACTACCAGAGAAGCAAAGACGTAGTTGTCTTTCAAAATCTGGAGTCCCTTTGATTTCTGGCCCTTCTTCTTAAGAAGCAATTTTCTTAAATTATTATTTCACTAGGAAGGGCTGGAAAGATCCAGAAAAGGGCATTCGCACAGTCCAGTTGTTTAAAAAAAAAAAATTAACCGAGCCCTGTTGCTCACTTTAATAGCGAACTTCCATGTCCAGCCTGATCCCTTCTTCCAGAAGGAAGACTGGTTCATAGGACAAACCCAGGGCTGCAGAAAATGGGCCAAGAGCCCTTACTCCACTCCCGACAACAACAAAAAAATCAAACAATAGGACTATCTCTGCACAACCAGCACCCGCCTGAAATATCATTTACCCCGATATGACTTAGGCAGATTAAGCCTAAAGATTAAAGAAAAAAAAAAATACCAGCTCCGCTGATGTCTCTCCCCACCATCCTCCTGACACGTACCCAGTAGCCCTTAGGTAAACTTGCCCATCATAACCAGCGGGACCATGTAACTTGAAAGGCGATGCAGAAGCCCTTGAAGGAGGAAGGGAGGCTCTACCCAGAACAGCAAATTGAGAAAGGGTTCTTTGGGCTCCCCAGACTAACCTCCAAGTGCCCCCAGATAGATTATCCCAGGAAGCAAGTCACCCAGCGCACTGGGAGTTCAAATTTCCATTAGAACCTTCATCACAAAGGCAAACAGTCACCTGACCCCGAAACTACACCATTGTCCAGGTGTGACAAGGAGTGCCCCTCTCACTCGCAGGGCCACCTTCAGGACCCTGGGCAGTAAACGAATGTTGGGGTGGCTTATAGTAGCAAAAGAAAGGCTATCTCCCCAAAGCGGGAATAACTGAGAAGCAGGGACAAGACAGCTCCCGTTCTATCAGCCTTCTTATTTGGCCTGACTGGGCTTGCTCTATCCTAGGATACCTCTCAATGATCCCTGACTTTTGCATTTTAAAACTAAACAAATAAAAATAAAGATCAGGGAAGAAGAAACCTATTTTTGCCTAAACCCTAATAATAGTTCGCAAAAAAATACAATTTTCTCATTGTATGACGATATTTCTGCATCCAGATCAAAAGAGATAGGAATTTAGTGGAGGAAGGGAGAAATTTATTTTTTTTAACAAGTAATCACAGGGTAAGTCACCTGCAAAGCAGCCGAGCCCATAGGTTAGTATTACATCACTGGCCTAGGAAGAGATGGGGGGGCAGGTTATTTTTCCCTTGTCATCAGGATGCTGTTTCTAAAGCAGTTAAGTTTTGTGGTTAAAAAAGAAAGAGGGAAAGAGCTGAAACTCTGGGTATAGCACAATGCCTTGAAAAAAACAATACATCGAACCAGGCTTTAAGGTCACTGAGAGCTTGCAAAACCCACAGTGCTTACCCAGAGTGGAAGTTTTCAGGCAAGCCTGCTACTAAATCATTAATATAAACAAATGGAAGGCAGAGGAGGAAGATTCCCTTGTAACGGATCCAAACAGGAGCGCACTCACACATACGCACACTCGCACACACACTCCCTTTTCACCTTCTCGGAGTATGTCCACCTTCACAACAAGAGAGCAGGAGTCCAGCCTAAATTTTCAGAGTCGAGAACAACCTCTTCACACCCCTTCCCCCACAAAAATAAATAAAATCATACAAACACTCACTCACTTCAGTTCCTCAACAGCTAGGGAAACCCCAGTCTCAATTTTGTCTTCTTGTGATCCTCAGAGAATTCTTTCTCTTTCTATCTGCCCCTTCTCCGCCGGGGGTGGGGGGGGGGCGACAGAGTAAGAGAGGGAGAGGGAGAGAGACTTCAAAATGTCAAAAAAAGTATCTGTCCAAAAGGAAGTGACGGGCATACATCATTTCAGACTAACAATCCAAGCAGACAGGAGCAAGAAAAAGAAGACGAAAATAAATCTAAAACACGTTCTGACTTTTCCAACATCTGGAGCAAAGGGACCCAACTTTCAGGAGAAACCGAAGGGAAAGCAAGGCAGGTGAAAAGCCATTCCCATGGTCAGCCGTGGCTCTTTGATCCAGGATTTTTTTTTTTTTTTAATCTAGGTTGGTCGCTCCCAACTGAAAACTTCTACCCTCTCAGGAGCAGCCTCTTCCCAGAACGGAGGAGAAGCTTGAGTTGTTTCGCATCCTTCCTGCCTTCCAATCCCGACACCCCCAAATCTTACCTTTCCCGTTAAACGGAAGAGTTGGGATCTGTTTGTTTGATATTTAATCAACTGAGTTTCCTGGGTGTTTCCTCTCTGGAAAGGTTCAAATTCCACAATCTTTCTCTCTCCTTTTTTTTTTTCTTTTTTTTTTTTTCTTTTTTTTCTCTCTCTCTCTCTCTTTCTCTCTGGGAGGGAGTGGCGGGGAAGATGGGGGGGGGGTTGGGGGGGGGAAAAGCAGGTCTTCGGTGGCTGGGAATAACCGCGGCGCTGCGAGAGGGGAGGACACGCTGTCTCTCCCTCTCTGTGAGTTGCATGCGAGAGGAGACGTGTAGGGCTGAGCTCTGAGCCCGAGACTGCCGGAGGAGCCCAGGAATTTCACGCACTCCAGAGCTGGCCCCTCCCTCTCCTCCCCAGACCCCGGCATTTAAAGAGACAGCCAGGCTGCCTGGCTCAAGGCTTCACCTCCTCCCTGGATGTTTTGCAAACAGCTGAGAAGACATAATCGAGGAGGGGCGCTCTGCAGCCCCCTGTGACGAAGAGGTGACTAAGAACTCAGTTCTCCCCTGTCCGGAGCCCAAGAGGAGAGCTGTTCCCTAGACCAGGATCAGGAATTCAAACGAAGACAAAAATCCTCATTGACAGTTTCAACACATGAAAACACCACCCTCCTGCTGAGGGTTCCTGCAGGAACCTCATTGCAAATTGAAGGGGTGGGGACAACGCTGACCTACAAGTCTGACTCGGTTTCCCTGAATAGTCACTTCTCTGTGCAAAATCAGGGCAATCCTTGAGCATCTTGCAGAGCTCAGGACTGTAAGTAGGACACAAATCCACTCCTTTAACGAGCACTTTGAGCGCTAGCTTAGACTGAGGCACAACGCAAGGTGCCGAGGACATAGAAATGAAAGTGACAAATGAGGCTGCCCCTCCAAAGGCCCCCTAGCAGTGGAGACAGACCCAGGCAAAGCCAATCCTCCCCCACGGGGACTGCAAGCTAAGAGACCCAGCACCTGGGTGGGTTGGAGGATGGCTCCCCTTTGGGGCTTGTACCCAGCTCAGGGCCTAGGCATTTCCCCTGTGCTCCCAAACCCATGAAAATCTATCACCAGCCTGGATGGACTAGTCCCTATGTGGGAAGCCCCAGCCAAGACTAAACCAGGACTGACAGTCGGAGGCACCAAATAGAAAGATTTTGTTCAGTATCAGACCCTGGTGCCCACTGTGGGAAAATAGCCCCAGTTCCCTTTCTTCCCCTGCCTCCCCTTTCTATGGCCTGCACAGTGTGTCCTTCTTTGGGGGTTGGCACCAATAGCAGGAACAGCCACTAAAAGCCACTGAGCATTTACTAGAGGCAGCATATGGATCACCTCATTCAGTCCACTGAGGTTGGTGCTAGTTGAGGTCCATTTTACAGCTGAATAACAGAAGCATTAGAGAGATTCCCTGAAATTAAACAGCTGGAGGTTGCTGAGAACAACTTGGAACTAAGGTCTATCCAACACCAGTGCCTACCTGTTTAGCTGCTGTTATATTACCATCCTTTTGTACATTTATGCTCCTTACCAGATGTCCTAGTGCTATCCCAACCCAGCAAACTGTAATGGTGCAAGCCCTAGGCAATGTGTTCATAAGACACCAATGAGTCTATCAAGGTCCCTGCTTCAAGGGGCCGCACTACCCTCTGGGGGATGATAGAGTTGTGTTCTTATGAAGTAAAGCAATATAACAGTCAAGACAGCAATGTAAAGGGAGTCTTCTGAGATTGTTGGTAAGTAAGTGATTATTTTGATCTAGAGACAGAGTATTTCAAGGCAGGCTTGGTGGACTCATGCCAATTTGGGCTGGGCTTGCCTGGACAGACTTGTCCAACATTACTACTCTATTTTTCAGTCTGTTTTACCTTTCAGATCATAATCGCATTTTCTTGTCTTTTTCCCCATCTTCAACACCTCTATGTACTCAGCACCTACAGGAATATAAACGAATATACCTAATGGATTAATTTCACACATGACCTCTGACCTCCTATCTGTTTAGACCTGAATTGCCCCAGCCCCAGATCTATGTCCTCCTGACCAGGCCCTTCTTGAAGTCTGTGCATCTTATTTGTTCTCAGGCTGTGAGAGATCAGATCAAGTGGCACAGGGGGAACATCCAGGGCAACTGTAGGTTCACCTCTGGGATCATCTGGAAAGACTTGAGGGACTCAAGGAAAGTGAGAGCCCTGAAGGTGTCAGCCCCCATGGAAATCCTCTGGCAAACACCAGCCTGCCAAGGACATCCCCACAAGAAGTCGGCTGCATGACTGCAAGGCATCTCTGAGCTTGAGACATGGCTGGATTCCGATTGCAGATGCGCCACCTAAATTCCATGTGATCTGCATAATTTTCATTATCCTCTCCAAGTTTCAGCATCCTCACCCATAGCATGAAGATAACACCTGTGCTTCCTTCGTAGAAGTGTTGTGAGAATTAGACAATACACATACAGCACCCCGCCCCACAAAAGAATTTAACAAATGTTCCCTATCGCAGCCCAAAGATCTGCATTTGCCCCTAAGTAGAATTACTAACTTTGGACTGCCCCCTATAGTTAGCATTCCTTTATTTCAGGCTCATGACATCACTTTTAATATTTAGTTCATTACAATGTCAATGTAGTTACTATCACTGACTTGTTTTCAGCCCATTTGCTGTCTATCCTACAAGGTAAACTTGTATATTTTGAGTATAATTGCTATTATCATTTTATTTCATTTGGTAGTTTCTCAGCCTTCTTAAGCACTACTTATCTTTCAATGACTCTGGTGTATCGTTTTAGTCTGCCTTTTATCACAAAATCTCTGGGCTCATTTTGCCCAATTCCTCCATATCATTTCAACTAACTAACATTCTGCTCATTCTAGAGATCCAGCATTCCCCCAGATAGCTACAAATTTATGAGGATGGATATATACAAAATAGCATAGAAAGATAACATCAGAGAGAATAAGCCATGTCTCCTTGCAGACTTGTAGTGCAACCATAAGCAGAAAGCAGTATCAGGTGTTTGCCTAAATGATGGTGTCACACCAGCAATGATGCTGGATTTTTTTAAAGGAAGACTCAGTGGAGGCAACTGATACCCTCAGAGACCCTGGACCTTCTCTGCTGTCATCTTTGTCCTGGGCTACAGAGATCTTGATCAAGAGGACATTAGAGTGGGAGGTTCCCTTGCAGGCCTATCTGCCTGTCCTCGGCAGTATGACTGTCATACTCATTCAGTTCCTGGAGGGAGCAGAACAGGTTGGGGACCCTTCAGACTTTTCCAATGTACAATACTTTTTCAGCAAATGACCAAAAAAAAAAAATCATTACCAGTCAAAAGAATGAGTTGTTCATAACATTCTAGAAAAAAAAATATTATTATAATGGTATTCATAACAATAATAAGGACATTTACCATCTACCATAAGTCACCCCTGCTAGCCCTCTACTTAGAAGTGCCAAGGTTAAGATGCCAAGATCTATAAACAGAATATCTTGATTCAGATTGCAGCTCCACGATTTGCAGGTCATGAGAATTTGGCCAAGTTATTTACATCTCAATCCTCAATTTTCTCATCCAAAATGGGAATGATGATGATACCAAATATTGATACCAAATATTGCCTGTGAAAATCATATCAAAAGCAACTCTAAGCTGAGCTGAGGACGCAGCTCAGAAGTACAGTGCTTGCCTAGCATGCACAAGGTCCCAAGAAAAGCACCTGTACTAGCAAATGCCATGTGAAAAGTATACAACAAAGAGTTTAACTGTCAATAGCAGAGTGGAATTTAAAATATTTAACATCTGAGACAACCCAGTCAGTAACCAATCGGACCAGAAGAGAGACACAAGCAACTGGTTTAGCCCTTACCAGGACACAGCAGCTATCAGGTTTGATCACTGGCACTGTTGCCACATAAGCCTTTGGCAAGCACTGATGTATTATCCCACCTAGTTCCTCACAGCAAGTTGATTTTATTATTTATTGAAATACATGCAACTGCACATTTATAAACAAGACTGCCTATAAAATCAAGGTGCTAGATAAAGACACTTGACATATCCATTCATGCCACCCTAATGACTCCAGGTATGTGAATTTCAGGAGTTCCTGTTGCTTGGAGATATTTGGTTTCATTACACAGTATCCTTTACTTAGTGATGCTCATCGTTGTAAGACAATGATAATGTTCAGTGTCCTCCGTTTCTTCATTATTTAAATGGGTGTTTGTTTCTGAGTTCCCACAACTCTATCCCATTAAACCCTGGGAATATCAAAGACTTCTAAAGCTAACACCAAGTCACTAGAAATTGGGAATTACCCAATTTGAAACTATACTACAAAGCCACTGTGATAAAAACAGCATGGTACTGGCAAAGAAATAGGCCTGAGCATCAGTGGAATAGACTGGAAGACACAAAAACAAACCCAGATGTACTCAGCTACCTCATCTTTCACAAAGGAGCTGACCATCCTCAGTGGAGGAAAGATAGCCTCTTTAATAAATGGTGTTGGAAAAACTGAATGTCAATCTGCCACAGATTAAAATTAGACCCTTATCTTTTGTCATGCACTAAATTAAAATCCAAATGGATTAAAGATCTAAATATTAAAACAGAAACATTAAACTTGCTGGAAGGTAAGTTAGGCAGAACTCTGGAAGACATTGGTATAGGAAAAGACTTTATGAACAAATCCTCAGTAGCACGGGAACTAGCAGATAGAATCAACAACTGGGATCTCATCTTACTAAAAAGCTTCTTTACTTCAAAAGAAACCATCAGCAGAACTAAGAGACAATCTACAATGTGGGAAAACATTTTTACCAGCTGTTCCTCAGACAAAGGACTATTATCAAGAATATATAAAGAACTCAAAACAATCAGTCCCCCCAAATATAAAGACCCGATTCAAAAATGGGCATCTGAAATGAACAGACATTTCTCAGACAAAGAAGTCAAAGCAGCAAGAAAATATTTGAAAAAATGTTCCACATCACTG